TTCATCAATGAAGTTGCTACCATTGGAAGAATTCATCATGTCAATGTGGTACAACTAATCGGATTTTGTGCTGACGGATCTAAGCGTGCTCTGGTCTATGACTTCATGCCTAATGGGTCTCTTGAAAAGTACATTTTTTCCCAAGAAGGAAATATCTCCTTGAGTTGCAAGCAAATGTATGAGATTTCTCTTGGCGTGGCCCGTGGGATTGAATATTTGCATCGGGGTTGTGATATGCAAATTTTACATTTCGACATCAAGCCTCACAACATTCTTTTAGACGAGAATTTCACTCCAAAAGTTTCCGACTTTGGGCTTGCGAAATTGTATCCAACAGATAATAGCATTGTGTATGTGACTGCAGCAAGAGGAACAATGGGCTACATGGCTCCAGAATTGTTCTACAAAAATATTGGACGTGTTTCCTACAAAGTTGATGTTTATAGTTTCGGAATGTTGTTGATGGAAATGGCAGGTAGAAGGAGGAACTTGAATGCATTTGCTGATCATACAAGCCAAATTTACTTCCCTTCTTGGGTTTATGACCAATTTAAAGAAGGGAAGGACGTGGAAATGGGAGAGAGCACAGAAGAAGAACGGCAAATGATAAGAAAAATGATAATAACAGCATTATGGTGCATACAAATGAAGCCTGATGATCGTCCTGCAATGAATAAAGTTGTAGAAATGCTTGAAGGAAATATTGAACTTGTGCAAATGCCTCCGAAGCCTTTCCTAACTCCTCAAGAGATGCCAACTGAAGATAACTGAATGAACCCCTTTCCTAACTCCAATAATTTGGAATGATAAATGTTGTGCATGTACTGTATTAAAGGGGGAAAAAAATATCACATCCTCAAATAATAATAAATTATATTGGTTTGACACTATTTCTTGAGAAGACAAGTTCCATGTGCTAGTGGAAGAATGCTTAAAATAAATAAACATGCACGCGCACACAAGAGAAACACAAATATTTGTATTGGAGTCTAAAAACAAATGACACATTTGGACACGTGTCTGACAAGTATTGGGACGCATGAGTGTTGATGTTCACCTGTCCGACACACACATTTAGTAGCAGTCCTGTGTTTTTTACGTCCTAAGCAAAATCTTTAAAAGGTGCATATCGGTAATGAGAGAGTATGGTGTGGCTGGCCTTTTAGACTAAACAACTAGATATTGACAGTGAAGAAGAAGAAGGAGAAAGGGAAAGCAAATAAGAAGCAGAGAACAGGCAATATAAACTCTCCTCTCTCTCTTTTCTCTTTTCTTTTTTTCTTCTGGTGCAGCTTTTGTATCTGCTATTCTCAAATTTTGTCACCGTTAAAAGTATTGTATTGACATGAGGCTGCGTATGTTGTGGCCCTACCTGGCTTTGAAGACTTCGTTTCTGCTATTCTCAAAGTTAATCAAAGTTATGAGTTCAATTGTGGAGTAGATTTTAGACATTAATTTTAGTGCCTAATGTGAGAGGGTTGTGGCTGGACTGCAGGATCAAATTGAGGAAGCAAAGAAAGTCTGACAAGGTTTGGAAGAAAAGATGTGACATGGTGAACCTCCTTATGCTTTAATCTACCGACCAAAAAAAAAAACTCTTGATTCTTTAATCTAGCTACTAGTTTAGTTAAGGTTTATGTGTAGGATATACATGTTATTAACCCTTTCTTTAAGGGGATTTATGAATTTAAGATTTACTTTAAGGGGCATTTGAGGGAGCTTCTATTTCCACACAACAATTACACTCTATATACATCTTTTTTAATAAATAATTGGTTCGGAAGTAACATTCCGAAAATAAACAATTGGTTCGGAAGTAGCATTCCGAAAATAAACAATTTGTTCGGAAGTAGAATTCCGAATTTTTTTTATTTTTTTGACATTCAACTTCCGAATGTGTTTATTTGATGTCCATAATAGTAATTTCACTTGAAAATAAAATTATAATAAAAATAATTATTGTTGTGTGCAAAGAGGGGAATAGGGACGTGCTCATATCTTCATCAATCATATAGACCTTGAGCATAATTTGCGTGGTTGTCCTATTTTATCACTGTTACTCTGAAGACTGTAATCCTTTATTGCCTTTAATGGAATATATGCTGTGCCATGGTAATGACTTGGTGTTTTCAGAAATATTGTCTATAACCATAGAAGCATAGTCACCCCTTTTTATTTCGAGACATTTGAAGGAAAATCAAGGAGAATGATATCTTCAATCTTGAGCAATTACCTGTTTTAATTTCTCAAAAAATTATATCGAAAATTTGAAGCTTTTTTTTATTTTTTATATGGCTTGTTGAACTATAGTATACAAGAGTTTTATCTAATTATCATCCTAACAATCTCTGTTTACTTTTATAGGATATAATTTCTTATTTTCCACATAATTTAAAAAAATTGAGGCATGTTTCTTTGATGGCTTATGGATCTTTATAAAGACAGTGACAGTAAATCAGTTTCACTGTTTCATTCTATGTTTTTATGTGGCATAAGACTATTCTTGTTCAAAGATTATAATTGTTAGTTATGGTCTGAGATGAGCAGCTAAGAATGGTCAGAGCATATTTGGGAAACAAAAAGGTAACATCCAGTTTTTCCTGCTTGCTTCCAGTCAAGAGGAGAACTAGTCGTTGGACCACACACCACTCCTTCTATAATTTATTGAGTCCCCTCATCAAGCAGACTAGGAAATCATTTAATAATAGGTTTTTTTATTATTTGGCACAACTCGATGAATTTAGTAAAACCTTTTAAGATAACAATATGAGGAAAGTTTCCACCAGGTAACAACAACTCGACTTAATCCTACCTAAGCATATTCATATTATGTCACTGAGGACTTGGTGTGAAGCCTTGAAGCCCTTCTCATGGGTAAACCTCAGGTTCCTTGGGTCCTTGGAATTTTAAAATGTTTCACATTTTACTATTTTAATAGTTGAATAAAGTACATGAAGCTGATGAGAACATTCGTAAATGTAATATATCTTGAATTACTAAGGGCATCTCTATTGGTGTAGTGTTTTTTGTGTTATTTTCAACAAAAGTGCATTTTATATAGATTGTTATAAGCTGTTGTACTAGTGTGTAGTATTTACTGTGCTAAAATAGCACAGATACTTCAACAATGTAAATTTGTGTGTGTGCGCGCGTTTTTTCCCACTACCTATCAATCACAAACTTAAGTCAAAGTTACAAAATAAATAAAAATTGTTAAACAAAATAAAACACAAGACATAATCATTTAAAATTATAAAATAAAAATAAAAATAAGATATGATTTCTATCAAAATCAGAGTTCGTTGAGAATATTATTACCCCACAAAGCGAAAACTCGAATCTTCTGCTATTTTGTTCTTTCTATGCAATTCCTTTTTCACCTCTCTTCCATTAAGCCTTTTAGTTCTTGCAGAATCAACTCCACAATCAATTGGATCTTGATTGGAATCTAGATAAATAGGTGAAAAAGAATCTTGGTGAGGATTCAATCGATAGGTGAAGATTTCAATTGCTTAATTTATTTGATTAATAATGAAACAGTAATAAATTAGTGATAAATTAAACTCCAATTATATTGATATAGTTGTAATTTTATTTTTTTAAAACAATCATATAGTCAAAGGTGTAGTATAAAATAGCATTGTGCTATATGGTTTGTCAAATTTTTCATAGGAAATAGGACTACAATATTTTAAGACAACAAATACAACACTGCTGGAGTGAATGTTTTAGTTACAATATCAACTTTCTTGGGTGCTGTTAAGAATGTCGTAATTCATTTGTGGGACAAGTCCTTGCCAAGAGCCTTCTGCTGCCAAGGCCTTTCTAACTAATAACACTGATTAGATATGTATATTTTGTTGCTTTCCAATGCATAGTACAATAATAGCAAATGAAAACAAAACATTTCAAAGCCTATACACCAGATGTATTATTTTCACACAATTGTTCCTATTCTGATTGATAGAAACAAGATTTCTACCAGATATACAAACCGATAAAAAGTCCAACACAAACAACACTAATCACTGTGTTTGGTTTGAGTTTTCTGGATTAAATTTTTTTAAAATTGACTTTTTTGGTTTTTGTGTTTTTTTATTTTTAGTGAATATTTTTTAAATTTTAAACATTTTTTTTTACTTTTTTAGATGCACCTTACTTAGATGTATCTAAAAACTAAAAAATTTGTGAAAAAATATTTTAAAAAATTAATAAATACATAAAAATACAAAAAATATACTGAATTCTTGTATTTTTTTTGTATTTTTGGTATTTAGTGATTTTTTAAAAGTTTTTTTTTACAATTTTTTTTACTTTTTAGGTGTATTTATGTTAGGTGTGTCTAAAAAGTAAAAAAATTGCTTAAAATATTAAAAAAATTCAGTAAAAACAAAAAAATACGGAAAATAAAAAAGTAGAATTTTCTGAAAAGTGTTTTGGAAAACTGGAAACCAAGCAAGGTGATTTGATTCTCTCACTCAGATTCAGTTTCAGTTTCAGATTCAGAAATGACTTCTAACTTGCTGTCAAAAGACTTTCGATCCCTAGCAGTCATTTGATTTGTGGTGGTAAATGGATTGGGTGGCATAGTCAGAGTGTCTCCATCATCTCCTTCCAACATTTGAACCACAACTTTCATTGAAGGGCGGTCTCCTGGGTACCACTGAATGCACCAAAGTCCCACAATTGTTAGTTTCTTCACAATCTTAGCATCTCCATCTTCCTCAATCACGATCCCCTGTTCTTCTTCATGATTTAAACGGTTATAGATCCATTCGGAGAAGTAAACTTCGCTTGTGTTCTGTGTTGTAACATGGGTATTCTTTCTCCCTCCAACCATTTCAAGCAACAACATTCCAAAACTATAGACATCTGACTTGTATGACACGTTCCCAAAGTTCCTAGAGAACACTTCAGGTCCCATATAGCCTATGGTGCCCCTAGCAGCAGTCATGGATATGGCACTTTGTTCTTTCGAACACAACTTGGCTAGACCAAAATCAGAGATCTTGGGATTGAAAACCTCCTTGGCCTAGTTTTTCCTTAAAATTGTTAGTAATTTTCTTAATCTCGGCATAAGTGTATCTAGTAGGTTTGAGAGTTATGTAATCCTCCAAAAATCTTTCAATTTTTACTTGATCCTCTTTCTTTAATTTATTTGATCTGTGGACAAAATATATTGTGACCATGACTACAAGAAGAAGAATCAAGCCGGGTGGTATCACACCTGCAATTTTAACCAACAAAAATTAGGAGTGAAAATTCCTTCTCCAAAAAAAGAAGGGAAAAAAAAAAAAAAAAATCACGGGAGGGTAGACAGATAATTCACCTTTAAGCACTAGGATTTTTGTTTCACCTGTAAAAGATAGACATGACCAGAATGTTTGTCATTCATAAAAATATATAATGTTTCTTATCTATAATTTATTTCCTAAAAGTTTTCAAGATATATGTAAGCTCTCTTTCAGTTGTCAACAAGGATCATAATTTGTAGAGAGATCTGATAGATACTCCAATGAGTCTCATGACAGCTGAAAATCACGATTAATTTGTAGGCTTAAGTGACTCCTAACTGAAAGTAAAACACAAGGGAAAACTAATAGAGGAAGGAGTACTTGAAATACCAGTAGTAATTGGTGGTGGGTTATGTATGTTATTGTCAAAGCATTCAATTTCATCATGTTTCCTGCTGCTGTTGTTGCTCTTATTCCTCCTCCTCAGTCTACAATACTTGCCTATTTCTTCACACCTCCCACATATGGGCTTGGACCAACTCAATCGAAGTTCATTAGTATCTAAATCAGGAGAACCATATAGAGGGGAATCTATTGATGTTGCTGTATATAACTTTCTGCAAGATAATAGGAACTGCTGGATTAAAAAATCATCAGGTACCACATAGACCACATGACCTTGGCTGCCGTTATGGCAATTATTTGTGATTGGAAATGGTGAATGTCTATAATATGCATATTTTATATCGTACCATTCGAAAGGGTAGGTTTGCATTGTTGCGGAAGGACAACTGAAAAAGCTAAAATTACCTGGGTAATAACGTGGTGAGAATTTGAAGGGAGAGGCCGATAAACTGTGGTTTAGATTTAGGAGAAGCTGTTCCGGAAAGCAACTGCTGGGGTCACTTATATATAAAGACTGGTCTATGTAATTGATTTGCTGGACAAATACAGTTACAGTCACGAGCTCAAGCATGGTAAGGTTGGTTGGGGAGCAGGACAGTTCAAACCCGGGATAGCCACAGTGATTTGGCTGGTGATCCTTTAGCCAGAATGGGAACCGGATGTCTGGACCATATTCCCCACACCTCTGTGTCACCGTACATTCATCTGAATTTAGTGGTCGTGCTCGTGGTGCTTGTGGTGCTTCTGCTGCCAATACTACTCCTTGGAGTTGGAACAATAACAAGAGAAAAAGAAAGATGAGGAAGAAGAAGATCATGGCCATTTGCATACTAATTTCGTTGTGGAGTTTCAAATTCAATGCCTCCTCATCCTCATCCTCATTTGTCACTTTCTTCAAGTCAACATCCTCTTTGCAGAGCCGGCCCTGGCCAAAGGCAAGCAAGGCAACCGCCTTGGGCCCCCAAATTTCGATAAATTTTAAAGACTCATGAATAACTCTTATGGTGTTAGTAGGTGATAATGCAGTCCGTCCTGGGTGGATGGGTCGGGCTGGTCCAAGCTCTTCAAGTTCCGATTCAGGCGAGTGATTCTACCAGATGACCTACAAGCAAGTCCAAAGGGGAACAGGGTAGTCCCCCAGTGAACCCTCCGGCAAGCGAATCAGTAGAGGAAGAAGGAAATATATATATATATATATAGAGAGAGAGAGAGAGATAGAAAAGCCTCACCTTCCTCTTGTCTTCCATTCTTGCTTATATCCTTTGGTAATCATTTCACTGTCCCTTGTGACGTGCCCCCTTCCGCCGAAAGCTTGTGCCGTAGCTTACCTTGTTCAGGGTGAGGGGGCTCTGTTCCGACGGGGAGGTGTTGTCGTAATAAATGCTGTGATGGGCTGCATTAATGGTGATGTGTTGTGGCAATAACTCTGCAGATCTTTGTCTGCTGATGTGGCCTGTGTTCCACCTGCCATGTGCCTGAATGCCATTGGCCCTCCACGTCCAAATGGCCTCCAGCTGTCCTGGGCTTTGCCAACCGGGTTATGCTATGGGTCCCAAGCGATGGGTTTGGGGTGGTTTGCTGTGGGCCGTAAGCCTTGTGGGCCTATCCATGTCAGTAGTCCCCCATTGCCGAGTGCAGCTTTAGCCCAACGAAGGGAACAGTAATAAGGAAGAGAAGTGCGAACCGAGTGGAGAGGCCGACCGTTAGCCGTGCCGACCGCAAGGGTGATCGAGCGGGAGAAGCTGACCGTAAGGGTGGCCGAGTGGGAGGGGTCGACCGTGAGGCGTGCCGACTGCGAGGGTGGCCGAGCGGGAGGGGTCGACCGTGAGGCGTGCCGACCGCGAGGGTGGCCGAGCGGGAGGGGTCGACCGTTAAACGTGCCGACCAGGACGGCGCGGGGCTCAAAAAGAGAAGGGGGGTGGTGCCATGTGATGATGTGAAATGGAAAGGACAGGGTAAGGGGAGGGGACAGTGCATCGTGTCCATACACGTGGCAATATTGTGGGGGAAGTGAAGCGTTGGAGCAAAAATGAAACGATAGGTCACGAGGGGGGGATTTTGAAAAGGCGGTTTTGGCGGTTGATTTGAAAGGTTTTGAAACGGGTGAAAATTAATGTGGATCCATGGAATACGGGTAAACCGTGGGTTTTTGGTATAATGCGTTTCACCTACCTTTTTACAAAAATACAAAATACCCAAGTATTAATTCCTTCATTGCGTACGACACACCTGTGAAACATTTTCTCAACTTCCTTGCTCCTGTGTCAGAAGTGATTTGTAAGCAAACCCTAGAAATGGCACAAGAAGAAGTGGTCAATGTGAGGGTGGACCCTCTGGGAGACGATGATGCAGAGGAGCTAGCAGCGCGATATAGGATGGAGACACGAATGGTGGGGGTGGGGGAACCGGTGGAAAAATCGCAGGCGTCGGCCCTGATATTGGCTCCAAAGCCAATAAGCCAGGTAGAGCCAGATCAGTGGCACACTAAGGCGGACAAATCCACACTTACTGCGGTGGATTTGGAGGCTATCAGGGAAAGATACCAGATTCCGGCGGAGGTGGAGTTATTGCTGCCAACATCAAGGGAAAGGCCGTCTGATGCTAGGCCAGGGGAGTTTTCCCTTTACGATGAGGTGTTAAAAGGTGGGCTGAGGTTGCCACTGCCCCAAGTGGTGGTTGACGTACTGAACCGTCTAGAGGTGGCGCCGGGGCAATTGATGCCCAATACATGGAAGATTCTGCTGGCCTGTGCGAGCGCGTGGCCCAAGGCGAATGGAGGGGAGGCCATGGCGGTAGACGAGTTCTTTTCGTGTTACAAGGCGTCGGGACAGCAAGAGACGTGGGTCACCCTACAGGCGGTGATGGGGAGGGGATTGGTGGCGGGGTTGCCGACATCGATCAAGGGGTGGCGGCCACGGTGGTTCTACGTGTCTGCTTCAATATAAGTGGGAGTGCGCACCATCTGGAAGGTGCCCACTAGGTCGATGGAGTCGAGACTGGGGGCAGTGGCGGAAGAGAGGGTGAAGAGAGTGAAGGAGTGGAGAGAGAGAGAGAAAGGAGGCCAATTGGGACGAGCTCTGTTCAATTCTCACCGTCTCTCACCGCCATATTGTTGAGGCAGGGCTGGGACCATGCGCAGCTGAGTTGGGTGGGGACCTTCCGACCGACAGAATTGGAGGAACCGAGAAGAGAAGCGTGCAGGAGATGAGGACAAGGGCCGTACCTGGCCAAGGTCACGAAGGTGAAGGAATGGCGAGGAGACTGACCGCCTCAACCGATCGCGCGGTTGGAGGGAGAAGATCCGGACCGTCCCCAGGCCGGTTGGGGGGGAAGGACTTAAGCAGTTTTGAGCCACGACCGCCCCCAGTAGATCCTGTAAAAGAACAGGCCAGAAAGGAGGGGGAGGCTCTGAAGAAGAAGAAGAAAAAGAGGAGTGCCCCAGAGGAACCTGCAGATGAGTCTGGGGCCAAGAGGGCTAAGGTGGCCCCAGCTGAGGTGGAGGTCCCTGTGGCCAAGGATACCCCAGAGGTGGTAGGGGTCACCCCAACTCTGGAGGTTGTGGAGACTACCCCAACAGAGCAAGTAGGAGTTGGGTTGGCCGAGGGTGTGCCGAGCGGGAGGGAGCAGACCCAAAAGGGTCCTGCCCCCCAGGAAGGAGGCGTCCGTCTGGCTACGGCAATCTATCATGTGCGCGCGGTAACTGGAAGGTTGGAGGGAGAAGAAGGCCCAACCAGGGCAGGGGCAGACCGCTTGGTGAAAATTATGGAGGAGACAGCCCTGCGCTCGGCATCCGGGTTTAATGAGGCTGACCTGCTGAGGGGGTTGTGCTCCACCCAAATGGAGGTAACCACCTTGGTAGGGGCCCTTCTAAGGAAAGCAGGAGCGGCCAAGCTGAAAGCTGAGGAGGCCAAGGCCCAGTTGGCCAAGTTGAAGAAGGAGAGTGCCGACTGGAAGACTGCCCATGCTGATCTGCCAGCAGTCAAGTTGGAGCTGGAGGACACACGCCGTAAGGTCGTGTCGCTCGAGTTCCAACTGGCTGGCGAACAGAAGAAGTTGGAGGAGTCTGAAAGAGCCTGCGCCGTTGTGATCGAGCGGCATGAAAAGGCCATGAGCAGCAACGAAGAGCTGGTCAGGCAAAAAGATGAGGCAGATGCCAGAATTGGAGATCTGTTGAAGGGGTTGGAGGATGAGCGCGTCAAAGCAGAGGAGGAGAAGGGGAGGCTGATGAGGGAGTTGGAAACAGAGAAGGCGAAGGCGATGGCGGAGCTGGAGAGTCTGAAGAAGGGGGTGGAAGAGGAGAGGGCGACGGCGGCTGCTGAAAGGGGGACCCTGCAAAGAGAGGTGGACGAAGAGATGGCGAAGGCGGCTTCTGAGAGGGCAGCCTACCCTGATCTGTGCGTCGCAGCGGTGGAGCAATACAAAGGGTCTCCCAAATTTCAGATAGCGGTAGATGCCGCAGTCGCCAGGAGTCTAGCTGGGCAGGAATCTGGGGGAGTAGGCCCATCAAGGACGACTGCTGGAGGTAGGACAGAGGCAGAGGTGATTGAGAGCTTCCAGCAGTCAAACTTCTACAAGCACGAAATGGCCGAGTTCTGGGACAGCGGTTGGAAGATGTTCAAACGCAGAGCTGAAGAGCTGTTCCCACACTTGGACCTGAGTAGTGTGACGATAGGTGAACATGATGTGGCCCAGACCCCCCTGGACGAGGGCATTGAGGAAGAAGAGCTTGTGTCCAGCGAGGAGGAATAACCAAGAAGAAGAAGAGCTGTTCAACTTCTGTGTTTGTGTTTTTTTTTTTTTTTTTGTAATGAACTGGTGTACACATTGTAAGTGAATGAATGAATGAATGAATGAAGAATTTTGTTGTAATGAACTTGTGTACAAATGTTATTTCGTTTATGTTATCAGTTGACTGTGTGGGCCTGTATTGTCTAAAATGAATGAAGTCTTGTTATAAAAATTGGTCAAAAACATTATGCAATAAAAATTTCGTGCAAAGTTAAGTTTGAAGTTCCTCCCTGCAAAGTGAGATTGGAGTTGTATGAAAATTGAAAGGATGATAGTGGTTGATTGAAAAATTGGATTAGGAAATTGTAGAACATAATATTCAAGTGGGGTTAGTACTTCTAGTTTAATAAGTACGGATGAAGAATCCACGGATGAGGACAAAGGGTAGGTTGCAAATTATAACTAAACAGTTAATTGTAAACTTGTAGATGAGAGTTTGGAGAAACAAACTGGGTGGGATGGTAGATAATCTGATTAGTAAATGAAATACGTGAGAACATGTTTGGAATTTAACTAGGTAAAAACGTGGTCCTGGAATTGTGAATAAGCTTCAAAATGTGACTAAGTGTTAAAAATGTGGTCCTGCTTGGCTTTGAAGTGCTCAGTCTGGCCGAGGCTTTGAAGTGCTCAGTCTGGCTGAGGCTTTGAAGTGCTCAGTCTGGCTGAGGCTTTGAAGTGCTCAGTCTGGCTGAGGCTTTGAAGTGCTCAGTCTGGCTGAGGCTTTGAAGTGCTCAGTCTGGCTGAGGCTTTGAAGTGCTCAGTCTGGCTGAGGGCTTTGAGTGCTCGGTCTGGCCGAGGCTTTGAAGTGCTCAGTCTGGCTGAGGCTTTGAGTGCTCGGTCTGGCCGAGGCTTTGAGTGCTCGGTCTGGCCGAGGCTTTGAAGTGCTCCGTCTGGCTGAGGCTTTGAGTGCTCGGTCTGGCCGAGGCTTTGAAGTGCTCGGTCTGGCCGAGGCTTTGAAGTGTTCAGTCTAGCTGAGGCTTTGAGTGCTCGGTCTGGCCGAGGCTTTGAAGTGTCGGTCTGGCCGAGGCTTTGAGTGCTCGGTTCTAGTTGAGGCTTTGAGTGCTCAGTCTGGCCGAGGCTTTGA